AGCCTCGACAGGTCGATTTGGTTTCATGTATTTTGAGCTCGACTGTTTTTCACGTTACACTTGAACGTGTCAAACTGTGACGGTCACAAAGATTTTGCGTTGTTAAATTGTGTGAGCACTTGTTAGAAGGCTGAGGACACACACACACACACACACACACACACACACAGACGGAGAGGCCCAGGTCCAATCAGGGTTTGAACTCAGGCGTCTTCAGTCTCCTTTAAATCCACGATGAAACAAACCAGGAAGAATATTTCATACTTTTATTTCCATTTATAAGTTCAAGTCGGCAATTTACATTACAGCCCATCGGCTCTCTGGAAGCGACTACAAGTCGATGTTCTGTATATCAGCCATAGAGGGGAGAGGGGGGAGGGGGGTAAGACTGAGGGACACCAGAAAAGCCTAAAACGGGGGGGAGAGAGAGACTGTGGTTACTGCTGCCAGATCCCAAATGAGCCTGAATCAACACGGCATGTACCATCACCATCGTCATTGTTGTTGTTGTTGTTGTCGTCATTCAGTTCGGTGCTGTTGTGCAGAAGGGAATGCTGGGAACTTGGAGGAGTCAGTGCAGTGGACCTGGAGGAGAGCGACGAGGCGTTTAGAGATCACAGAGGAAATCAGGTGTCAGAGCGTTCAGCTCGGTCGCACATACACACACACACGTTGATATCAGGGGTCAAAGTTCATTTAAAGCTGAAGTCATGAGGTCACGCTGCGACAAATGTTTTTATCACCTCTCTCGAACGTTGAAACATTTGTGTGTGTGTGTGTGTGAGCAGAGCGTTGTAGTTCAATGTTCCATTAAATACATCACAGAGAAACTCAAGATACTTCAAACTGCAGTAGACACAAACACAAAGTACTGCTTTACTTCTGAGATATTTTCATTTGAGACAAATGAGGTAACATTCACATCTGTCCACTCTGGATATCAACATTTGTTTCAAACTGTTTTTATCGGAGCTTCTTTATAATAATTATTTCAAAACCAAATGTGGACGTCGGAAAAATCTGGAGTTGATGCTGTGATGGCCGACTTGAAACGCTCCAGTCTGACAGATGTGTCTTTGATTATTTTATTTCAAAATGACCTTCGCTGAGATTTATTTTCTCTTCTTGTTGTTTACATGGTGAAGAGAAGTTCCACTCAACCACTGGCTGTATATTAAACCATTTGAAGGAGCAGTAGCATGACACAGAAAATAACTGGAAATAAAGAAATCACCAAATAATGGGAGATCCTGACATTTGAGGTGTGAGGGCCGCTCCTCATGACGTCCCCTCGGCCGCGCTCTTCACACAGGCGGCGAAGGCCTCCATCAGGTCCTTGCAGCCGTCGGCTCCTTTCTCTGCCACACTGGAAGAAGAATCAAACACACGGTGGTGAGACAGAGCAGGAGAGACCATTCTCCTCTCACAGAGGGAGAACACAGAGAGGAGCGAGGGGACGCTTGGCCTCTGTCAGCAGCAGAGGACTCAACCCGTCCGCGTCCGACTGTGGACAAAACAGACGCATGTTTCATGTGCAAACACGTTTTAATGGCGAGAACGAAACGTGAGAAACTGCAGAGAGAAAGAGAGAAAACAAAGAGAGAGGGACGTGACAGTGAAAGAGAGAGTTGAGGCAGACGACGCTGCCACTGTGCATTAGAGTGATGGAGTGAAAGAGAGGGAGGGGGACACAGAGGGGGAGACAGAGGAGGAGCCAGAGACACAGAGAAGCCATGTGGATGAAGACATCTGACGTTTGATTGGACGCCGCAGAGGGAGGAAGGTTGCGTGATCGTGCCCTGGGCCCACAGGGGGGAGGGGTCTCATGTTACATGAATGTAAAGCCCACCCACTGGCTCCACCCATCACTTCATGACATCTAAACATCCTCTCCTCGTCCAATCCTGGCTCAGCCCCCCCCCCCCC